GATTAAACTATCCAATACAGGTTCGTGAAATCACGGAAGGTGAATTAAGTATATTTTAATCACACATAATTGGTGATAGTAGCTTAAACCAAAAGATTTGTGTAAAGAATCCTGAAGGATAGGGGGAGTAGTTAAATAAATATAAATAAACAGTTATTAATAATCCTCTGCAGGTCCGTGAGAACACGGTGCCCTATAATAATTAATTATTCTTGCTAACTGAGAGCCCTTATCAACAACTAAATTCAGGCCCGTGAGAACACGGTACTGTAGGAATATTTTAGGCTTTGATTGATCTTAAAAAATCAGTAGTAAACATCTTAATAAAGAGAGACTGCTGAATTACTTTTAGGAGAAGTTTTAAACGTTATAATAAGCTATATCCAAGTCCGTGCGAATACGGTACTTTTGGAATAGTGTAGGCTTTGTTTAATTTAAATAATTAGGTTAATTAATTAATACAGCTTAATTATGTTCCGGTAAATTCTAAGCCCGATAAATAGGCCTAACTATATTCAGGTCCGTGACCATACTTTAAAATAAAGATATCATAGACTTTGATTCATTGTGCCATTAAACCGTATTACCAATACAGTAGACTCCCTCTTATCCGGACTCTTTGGGACCGAGGCCAGTCCGGATAACGGTTTTTTTTGGTAAAACCTTCAACCCCAAAAACTCATTAAAACAGACCGTTTACTGGGATATTCGACTTAAATTTAGGAGAGCATTGTATTTAGACACGTAATCACTGGTCTCAAATCTTTCCTACGAGAACAGTTGTTTCAGTACCGCCCACTTCCTGCCGATTTAGTCCGGTTAAACCAATGTGCTGATAAAAATTGTCCGGTTAAAGAGATGTCCGGTTAAAAGGTGTCCGGATAAGAGAGAGTATACTTTAATAATTAAATTTAATTAGCCTACACCCTTGAGAGTAAACTAAATCTAGGACCGTGTAAACACGGTAGTACAGGAATAGTGTAGGATTTGTTTGATTTATTTATAAAATTAATTATAAACTACTATTAACATAATTGTTAAAATAAATCATTGATAATTCACTGTGTGTAGGAGAAGGTATTTGTTAACAAGTTGAAAGCCATAGTTTAGTTTACAACAAGCTTCACAAGCTTACAATAAATCAACAGTAATCCCAGTGACATTCCAGAGTGAGATATCGTTTAGATAACAAGGTACACGACCCAGGACTTGACCAAGAGTGTGGTTCATGAAAAATATGATTATTATCCCTAAATCCTTGTTTTATACTGTTTGTAGCTTCTAATTAGTAAATAGTTGCTTGTATAATGAGTAGAATTGGAACAAGGTAGTCAAATATTTTATACATACTGAAATTACTCTGGCTACAAATGAAAAAACAATACTGTAGTTAGATTTTATGATAGAATGTTAATTACATACACACAAAGGCATTGATAGGTCTGTGTAAAAACGGTTCCTGCCACATTAATAGATACATTGATAATTTGAGGTCCGTGAGAACACAGTAGTTAGTTTAGTAGTTGCTTGCTTGCTTAATTCAGTTGCACGTTCTTTTGTCTGCTACATGTAGTTGTAATTGTTAGACAGACACATGTACTTTTGTACTCTAACACAAAACTACTACATTGTACTGTCACCGACTACACAATACCATCAATACAAATTCAGTTGTGACATTGACATTGCATTGACACTTTGAAAAATCATAGCAAGCTAAAATCTTAACTGCCAATAGCAGTAAACCGCCCATAGAGCCATCAAGTATCAATTACATATTTTAAAATACTATAAAAATTTATTGTCTGGAAATCTTGAAATACAATTAAAATCATATTACGTTATTCCAGTCTTATTGTAAGACCATATCTACAACATAACTGACAGTCTTATCCGTTGATATTCCTATCTTTACCATCATAATTGTTTTATTATAGCTAGGACTATCTCCTTGTTAAAACACCTACCCTAGCTAACTACCTGAAACAATTAACTATCTAACCATCTATTCTGCTGCTATGTTCGTGCCATAGGAACTTATAACACTCATTTAACAAAATATAACGTACTAATTCTCTACCTACAACTCAGAGCATATTTTAAGGGATTTACACTGGGCGACATTGGCCCCGGACTTACCGGGAGGCCCCATTAAAAAGGGGGAAAATCTTTGCCTAAATTAAAGTGAAAATCGCACATTTCTACGTATCTTGTAATTAATTTTCCGATTAACTTATATTTGCTTGTAAATCGTCCATATTATACCACTTAATTAAAACATGACATGAAATATTACAACTATTTTAAACCTGTTTTCAGTAGTTACATAATAATCTAAATTATATACGATCAAATAGTGGATTATTTGTTCCTACCTGAATCATTACCAGATTTTCATGTTGGGTGATTTTAAAATACCAAAAACACATTGATAATACTTAAAGAGAATGTTACCAGTATTATGTTTCTCAATATCCTTAAGTCATTCAATTTGTACTGTATAAATAGGGAGCCTACTAGAAACCTGAGTTGGGCTTTAAATAAATGATCCTGTCTAAAGAAACAGCTGATCTTAGCCAGTAACAAAGCTACACAGATAATCTCACTCGATTCTACACTCATCCTTCACAATACTTGATAGTATAGTAACCATAGACAAAAAGAATTAAATATAGACTGTCAGCCATGCTGCGGTTACCATGGTTACCATAGGTTCTGGCGCATACCACTGGGAGCGCCATGTAGTTTACGTTGCCGTAACTACATGGCACTCCCAGCGGTGTGCGCCAGAACCTATGGTAACCGCAGCACAGCTGACGGTCTATATTTAGTTCTTTTCGTCTATGTAATAACTAACGTTAGCACTATACTTTTTACAACAGCAGATAAAAAGAATATGTAATTTTTTCTTCTGCTAGTGATGTACTGTTAAGGCCCGTTTTGCCAGAAGCGTTTCGTGCGTCTGACGCTCAGCGTCTATCGCTCCGCGTCTATCGCTGCCCACTGCTTTGCATTGTTTTAGGTTAGTCTATTTTGCCAGAAGCGTCTGTCGCTACAGCCGCCAGCGTCTGACGCGGACCACTGCTCCTGGAGCAGACGGAGACGCAGTCGCTAGCGATTATTACTGGAATAAGCATGTGTTTAGTTGTTGACTAAACTTTTGTTTCCTTAAATAAGTTGTGTTTTCAAGTTTAGTGACATGTTACAAACAAAGTGGGAATTCAATAGTGTAGAAGATGAAAAACCGATTGAAGCCATTTCAGCACACGACTGTTAAGTCAATTGCTAATTGATTTTCAATTAAAAATTAAAAATATCCCTCTTCAGGCCTCTTTAAAAATATAGTACGCACTTCATTTCTAGGTTTGCACAACATTTCTATTATCTCATCATCGTCTAATTCCTCAGCTAACAAATACTTTACTATTTAGGATTTTTTGAGAGGATAGCAGGCTTACCTGAATGGGAAAGAGTCCAAACTGGCACAGGAAACACAAAACAAAACTTTACACTATATACACAAAACATTAGAATATTTCACTGTCACTGACAGCATTTTCAACTAAGGAAGAGGAAGAGATAGTTTTCTAGATGTCCAAAATGGTGGCCAGTGAGTTGTTGAGTCAGTGTTGCCAATAGTATGAATTCAAAAAACACAGTTTCAGTTTATCTTTTATGCACTATATATATATGAATAAATATGTAAGCCTGCTAGTTGGGTTGGATATTGAAGTGGAGTGGGTTGTAGACTAAACCTGAGATAATACCTTTAATCTAACCCACTCCACTTCAATATCCAACCCAACTAGCAGGCTTACATATTTATTCATATATATATAGTGCATAAAAGATAAACTGAAACTGTGTTTTTTGAATTCATACTATTGGCAACACTGACTCAACAACTCACTGGCCACCATTTTGGACATCTAGAAAACTATCTCTTCCTCTTCCTTAGTTGAAAATGCTGTCAGTGACAGTGAAATATTCTAATGTTTTGTGTATATAGTGTAAAGTTTTGTTTTGTGTTTCCTGTGCCAGTTTGGACTCTTTCCCATTCAGGTAAGCCTGCTATCCTCTCAAAAAATCCTAAAAAATCTAGGCCCTTGTGCTCTATGCTACACCCTTAAATACTTTACTATTTGCTTTTTACAGGTCATTTTCAGAAACACTCATTTTGCCACCAAAGTAAACCACTTACTGATCAAATAATCACAAGGAACAGACGCTTCTGGCAAAATAGGCCCGAGCGATAGACGCTGAGCGATTATCGCTCTAGCGATCATCGCTGAGCTTCGGACGTACCTGACGCTTCTGGCAAAACGGATTTTAATTGATTATTTTAATCTGAAAGCACCATTATTTTTTCATGTAACAAAATTCTCTTAGCTCTCTCTGAGCTTTAATGACCTTTTACCTTGAGTAATGCGCTCTTGAGAAGTAGAATAAACAACAAACATAACCTAATCATATTCAAACAACCTTTCAAGTTTATCATGCAGTGACAGCAGTGTGTGTCTTATCACCATTGCTTTCTGGTCTGTCACTCTTTATCTGAACTGATAACATTCATGTGAGTTGAAAGTATGCCCATCAGAAGGCTGTCACTCTGTACTTTGGTTTCAACAATTGTTTCTATAAATATCGTGAAAGGTGTTTTTATAAAATGTAAGTATAAATAATAAATATTGATTTTAAAATCTGGGTATACTTTTTTTGTCTATGTGTATTTTTTGGCCTGGCTTTAATCCTAATACTGTAGTATGACAGTAATTTTTAATGGACTTTAGTGTTATTGGTGTTGTTTTCAACCATTCTGGCACAGCTGTGTATTTGTACCCTATTGTCTGTAATGTTTCAAACTGGACCCGGTAGTAATATTGTGATCTTTGGGCTGGTATTCCTGGTCTTACTACACAAGGCATAACACTCCATTGTGCGCCTGCCATGCATTCATATATCTTAGTGTGTGTTTGTCAGAGTTGATAATGTTTTTGCAGGTCGCTGGGCTACTCTTTGACCCCAGTCAGTACTCTGCTCGCTGGAGGCTACGATGGGTTGGTCTACGTGTCCAGTCGACCTCCCCTCGAGGATAAGATGGCTCCTGAACCAATCCGAGATGCCATCACTAGAGCTGCCAAGGTAATTTTAAATAATATTAATATGGTATACCTATATTAATATTTGAACACATAACTTCATTAGATTAGTTTTGATTTCCCTATTAAAATATGCAAGAAGCTGTTAAGTGCAAGATATCTATTTGTCTATGTAAAGGATCATTTGTAAATAATTAATCTGTTATGTTAATTGCATATTTGCTAAAATTTGCTAAACATTATGAAACTTCATTATTAAATGTCTGGGGAAAAGTTTTGACAAATGTTCAACTTCAATACTGTTTATATGAAAATAGAAACTCCCCGTAAGGAAGTGTCTCTTAAAAGTGTCAATGGAAGTTATTGAAGGCTTAAACTCTATTCTCTGCTTCTATCACCTAAACTGTTTTAGCTAAATAGGTACTTGAATGTAGTGAACATTTCAGATTGACGGTGCATTATTTTCTGAGGGAGCCTTACTGGAAGTCAATCTTCCAGCTGGCCGAATGGTTTATTCTCCAACTGGACCTCTAACTGATTACCACGACGTTAGATCTTTTGGTGAATCCGCAAAGAAAGGCATTGCAAGTTAAGTTCCCAACTTTGAAATTGAAATTTATTATGTTTCCTTTACTCCCCTTCATCATTTAAGAGAATTATATTAATTGATTTGAAAGATGAAAATATCAGAGGTTCTTATATTGCACTTGTAAACATCAAACATATGGTAGCACAAAGACTCACTGAATGTGTCTCATGATGTTACATTACGTCATACACTATTTAAAGGATTTTGTACCTTTGTAATTGTTAAGAATTGGTTTAATGAGAGTTATTTGAAGATTCAATTCACACAAAATAGGCTACAAATTAATTGAATATAAATTCAGCAAGTTTGATGGTTCAATATTAAATAACGTAGGTTATTTTAGTAGTGAATGATATGAGTATAACAAGTTAATTGTGAATGTTTTTTATGTTACAGGGCCTTAAAAGCCAAGTTTGTAAAACCACTTTTAGTGTTGAATCCAGACAGATCATTCCCCAATTGCAACCTTGTTTCTATCCTCGGTGCGTTGGAAGCATTATACGTGGTAAGGTTCAGATGCTAGTAGTATAAATAAAAAGTAGGCCTATTCACCATACATCTTGTGTTAAACATTTTTAAATTCTGCATTTATTAATGTAATGAATTCAGTTTGTTTCTCAACTGTTAGAAGTGTAACTGTTGTAAGGTTCAGATGCTAGTAGTATAAATAAAAAGTAGGCCTATTCACCATACATCTTTTGTTAAACATTTTTAAATTCTGCATTTATTAATGTAATTAATTCAGTTTGCTTCTCAACTGTTAGAAGTGTAACTGTTTAGTGTTTAGTGATGATATTTTTAAGGTTAAAACTTAAAATATCTAAAACCATGGTTCATCCCAAGACTAATGAAAAAGAGGTAGCTTAAGACGGAGGTCACTCGCTGACCCGGACGGTGCTGCTTTTAATTCACACAGTGACACCTGTGAAAATATGTTGTTATTGTTGGTTGTTTTGTATAAGTTCAGTAATCTTCTTTCTTTTTTATTGCATATTTAACTCACATATTGTATTTGAATTTTTCCAATTATATTTTTAAGTTAATTTATTGCAGAATATTCAACATAGAGAAGACTGTCCTGATAAATGTCCAAAAGTAAAAGAATTGGGTGTGTGGAGTCTAGATGATGTCAAATTGGCAGAAACTGTGAATTTGGCTACGATTCTGGAAAATGGAAGGTATTAGTATTGTATTGTTTTTGGTTTTTGTTAAATGTGCAGGGCCCTGTTTCATAAAGAAAAATACTAGTCTAGTAAATACTAGTCCCGTATTTACATGTCCTACTAATTTGTGTTTCATAAACGTTTTTATACCGCTAGTAAATACTAGTGAATTTTACTAGTGGTTTACTACGTGACTAGTAGTTTCGGTCACGTGACCAACTTTACAAATGAACTCTCAAAACAAATTTCTAACCTCAATCACGGGTTTTCTGACGCTTCATAAAGCGTTTTAATTTTTTCTTTCATTTGATACTAAAAGTAAATAGTTGTAAAAACACAGTGTTTTCTTTTAATTAATAACTATATAGACACATAGGTAAAACAATCACACATTATTTATCAAAACGCTATTATTTATGTTCATTAATGAGCCCGCCGACGCGTCGCGTCGCTGTCGCTGCAATCAACACGGTGATTGTAGTAGCCGGTTGTAGGCCTAGTTGCTCAACAGTTGGGTGGAAGTTGATCTGTTGCTGCCGCATTCGCTGTGATTTGTATAGTTTTTGTTTTATTCTGACATATAAAATTAAGCTTGCTATGAGTAAAGAAAAGAATGCTCAAATTTTGAATGTAATTATAATTAAATCTTCTAAGGAGATTTTGTTTGGAACGTTTTCAAGTACCCTAACCTATGTTTTCAAATATTCGAATGCATAAGAATACTTGGGTTGAAAACCATTTGGTGATATTCTAATTTTGAGTCTACAAACCATGAATAATATGCCTAAACGTTTATTGATGTAACAAATAATTGCAACGCCGTTAACAAGCAATGGAGAAGTAGGTTTTCAAGTATAGTAAAACATGGCATATGCGCTATTGCAGGGCGTAGCTCAGAGGTAGAGTTTTCGCTTCTCATGTGGTGGGTCCCTGGTTCAAATCCGCACCACTCACTATACTTTTTGTTCCATTAATTAAACTTTTACATGTTTTACATTAAAATAACTGCTCTAATCAACATCTAATTTTTTTTATTACTTTGAATAGCAAATTCAGAATACCAAAATGGATTAAAAGTAATGTTTTTATGATAAGCAGTTCAGTCTAACGCCCAAAAATCAAATATAGGCCTACAAAATTGTTAGTACGTCACAGGGTTTTAGCTATTTAGGGAAGCAAATAATAAGCACCTCAAAAAATACAACGAAACTCCTCTTTATAATTGTTTTACTATTATTTCCTATTAAAATGTCTTTTAAATAAAACCGAGAGCCTTTGGTGTAAAATAATCTGATTAATGTTGTAATTTTGGATACATTTTTGTTCATCTTTGTATGCAATACAGTATGCGGTTTTAATTTGGTTTCTCTCAAAGATTAAAAATCTTTTATCTGTGATAACTAAATAGTTGATATAACCATGAAATTTAACTCAAGTAAATTTAGACAAAAATTTCACAGAAATTAATAAGATAACTTATAATTATAATTATTCTAATAGGGTGATTGTACATACATTATAAAATTCAATTTCACTCATTTTGTACTACGCCACATTTATTGATTGTAATTTACATCTAATAATTAACATTTTAGCACTCACAGATCTAGTTTTATCTTAAATTGCAAACTTGAGCCAATTCACACTTGAAAAAAGAATTCAATAATTCATTTTTTTAGATGATGTAAGGAATGAAATAACTCTCTTTCCAAAAAACTACTAGTCTACTTCAAATAATACGGGTGTAGAGAGGTTGTTAGAAAATGGCAAGTATTTACCAGTGTAATTTACAAGAGTAAAACTTTATGAAACACATTGCTGCCTACACTAGTAAAAACCACTAATAATACTAGTCCCTACACTAGTAACTAGTATTTTACACTAGTAGGTTTTTGAAACATAGACTTGTAAAATAAACTAGTATTACTAGTCCATGGACTAGTAAATACTAGACTAGTATTTTTATGAAACAGGTTGCAGGCCCTGGTTGCACTATTTACTCCTGCACTACATTCTGGCTATATTGTGTCCAAATTCAATTTATGTTACTTAAAAAAAAATTGGTTTTGTCATTGTCATTTAGTTGAATTAACTTATTTATATGAGTCTTGGTGTCGGAGTATATTTACCAGTGGCGGCTGGTCCATAATGACTCTGGGACGTCCTCCCATTTTCAAGACAATAGTAAAAAAAATGAACATAATTAACTATGATTTTCATTCCTGCATTTGAGTGTACATAAACATAAGTAAGTAGAGTCAATGTTTTTAGGACGGGTGATAATGGACACAACATGTTTTTGCAACAGGAAGTACAGGGGGAAGTACAGGGGTATATGTACTTATGTATGTAGACATTATCGTACAACTAATTCTACAGGAAAGGCCATTCGATGCTTGGAAATCACTGCTCCCAGACATCACTGAGTCGGATCTACTAACAAAGAGGGGACAGCTAGCTATATTATGCAATGGCACTCAGCTTAAATTGGCAGCAGATGTAATAAGCACTTTAATGGTGAAACCGAAGAAAAACTTTAGAGTGACTCCTGCAGCAATTATGGACAGAGAAAGTGAAATACCAGCTACACAGCTCAACATTAGTAGGTCTACTCAATCTAATGTTCATCAAATGGTTGAGAGAAATAATATAGTGCAAGAATGTAACAATGGTGGCTTTAGGCATCAGAAGAATGCATATAGACCTAAACATGCTGTAACTTATTATCCAACAATATCGAATAGGTTTTCTTCACTGAATAGTCATCAACCAGAAGAAGAAAGGTTACCAATTAATGCAACGCCTTCATATAAGGACAAAGTTATTTGCAGGGACAGCACATGTAAGAAAACCAAATATGCAGCAAAACTACATCGAGACAACAAACAACTATCATCAGATACAAACATGGTGAATTTATCAAACAGAAACGGGAGTCAATCTCGGTGTTCCAAATTACATGTGTTTGCAGATAGCCACGGCAAAGATTTGGGAAACTTAATCAAATCATTGATGCCCCGATCCACTGACACCTTTGTTTTAGCAAGCTCAGGAGGTAAACTGGATCACATATTAGAAAAAACAAATAACAAGATCAAAGATTTTAAGGAGAATGATGTAGCAGTAGTAATTGCAGGTGCCAATGACATCGGAGACACAACTATAAAAATGAAGAATAGTGAAGATAACATTCCAGCGGTCTTAAACAAATTTGCCACAACTAACAGCCAAACAAACATCATTTACGTTACGCTCCCCTACCGTTTTGACTTATCTTGGGACCACCCTATTAATAAAGAAACACATGCAGTCAACAGTGAATTGAAAAAAATGAGACATCTTAATGTTGTTAGTATTTGTGATTTTAAACGTAGATTTTTCACCATTCATGGGCAACACTTGAACAAACACGGAAAACAGTTGCTGAGCAGAAGAATTGCTGACACTGCCTCAAACCTGACCCTTACAAAAAGATTGAAAGAAATAGAATCGAAAATATTTTTAAAAGTTGTTGAGGATTCTATGGATACTTATATTGACAAATATTGCAGTAGATCAGAAGTTTCATATGCACACTGCATTTCAGCAGATCTTGACAATACAGAGAAAAATATGAGTCAAGGGGTTGCGACTGTGTTCAGAGACAAATTTGGAAGACCAACTAAGGAGGACCATTGTTTCACTAATTTGACATACCAAAAAACTAAAACGGGTGCAGCTGTTTACAGTCTTATTACAAAGCCTAAATATTTTCAAAATTTCAACAACTTAACTGAATATAAAAATAACTACAATCTAGCCTTTTCTCAACTAGCGGATGATTTCAAGGCTAAAAATCTGCAAATTCTGATATGTTCAACTATGGGTTGTAATCGTGATCGAGTCCCACCCAAGCATTTTGTGACCAATTTATTGAAATTTCAAAATGTAACGGGAGCTACTATTTTTATCATAACAGGCAAAAAAGACCCACACAAATTTCTGAAAAATAGATTAAAGCAATCAACTTTTGTAAAGTACCTGAAGCAAATAATAGTTGACGAATACTTCAAGAGCTGTGCTGGACAAAAGGCCTTAGTTGACACCTCCAGTGGTAAAATTACAGAGAGAGTAAATACTGAAAAAACCAGGCCTATTTGTATTGCTGACAGAGAAGATCAAGAACATCTAAGATCAAGTATACAACCTGCATTGCTGACACTGTCAGTTAGCACCAACCACCCTACTACCGAGCCGACTGATGTACCTTCACCTTCCCTGACTGAGATGAGCAACAACAATCCTGAATCTGAGACGAGCAACAGCAATCCTGAATCTGAGTCCATTCTATCATCTCGAGAAGAAAAAAGTGGTGTTCAAAGTGATATGGGCAATAATGTGATTGGTGAATTAGTGAATTTTTCTTTAAATCCCATACCTGAAGATGACTCTTTAATAGATTTAAGCTCAGAAAATGTAAACAAAAAAATCAACTTGGAATGTGAAACCATGCAACTGAAAGATATTGGTAATCAGACCTCCACAAGTCACTTTTTAAACTCCCAGGCATGGCCATTCCTGGTAGCAAAGTGAGTGTAGTACCTAAATCTTTAGAATTAACTTCTAAGATCAATAATGATAAGAAATCATGTAGTATATCTGTCTTCCATCAGAACATACAATGTCTAGCAACTAGAATTGACTCATTAATTATCACAATTGAAGAATTAAAGCCACATATTATAATTTTGACTGAACATAAATTAAACCAACATGAAATAACAAAACTCAAAATACCAGGGTATCAAGTTTCGACCTGGTACACTAGAACAGATTTCGGGGGAGGGGGGGTATTAATTTTGGTGTCAGAAAAAATTGAATTCAAAAATATAATGCTAAGTTCATTACGGGCGCTTAATCAAGATAAAATCTTTGAATCTTGTGTAACAGAAATTAAAGCAGGCAAAGAAAAATTTTTAGTGGCTGGGGTATATAGAACACCATCACAAGACGTTGATATATATTTGGAAAAACTAAGTGAACTTTTGAAAATTTTAAGTAAAACTGACAAAAAAATTTTATTGGGGGGTGATTTTAATATTGATGTTTTGAGGGAAGACAATAAGAAAAAGAAGTTTGTTAATGTTTTGCAGATGCATGGTTTTAAATATACAATTAAAATTCCAACTAGAGTTGCTGAAAAGAGTTTATCTGCCATTGATAATTTTATTACTAATTTAGATAACAATTTTTTTGAAGTAGAATGTTTAATTACAGCATTGTCAGATCATGATGGACAACTTTTTAAAATCCTCAGTTCAAAAAGTACAAAAAACAATTTAAATCTTAAAATACATAAGTATGAAAGGAGGTATAAACAAGAGAGCATTAACCTTTTCATTTATGACCTTTCCAAAGAAGATTGGACAAAACTTTATAACTGTAATGTGGAAGACAAATTTACTTATTTCTATAACATTTTAAAATATTACTTCAATTTGCATTTCCCTAAAACAAAAATAGTTTCCAGTAATGTAAATAATGGATGGATTGATGATGAAATTATCAATGAGCGTCATGAAATAATTGCAGAATATGACTTATATAGAGATGATAGAAGTAACATAGCATTGAAGAATTATATTAAGGAACACAAGAAGAGATACAAAAATATGATAGAACTTAAGAAAAAAACCCATTTTGACAATAAAATTAGAAATTCTACCAATGTTAACAAAACTGTTTGGAAAATTGTGAACACTGAAACAAAAAGTAAAAAAGAAAGATGTCATAGTAATATTTCACTCAAACATAACGGCAAAAAAATAGAAGAACCATATGCTGTCGCAAACATCTTAAATGATAATTTTGCTGAGATGGTTGACAAAAATGTTTTACCAAAATTAAAGAAAACCCAACAACATTCTGATCAAAGTATTTTAAACATAAAATTTAGGTGTCAAACCATCGATGAATCAATTTTGACATCCATAATTGATTCAATAAAACCTAAATGGTCATCCGGTTATGATGAAATTCCAATCAAAATTATTAAAGAATCAAAATCTGTTTTGTTAAAGCCACTTTTACATGTGATTAATACATCACTAATAACAGGCGTTTTTCCCGCTCAACTAAAAATATCAAAAATAATTCCAGTATATAAAAAAGGTGATAAAAAAGATCCGCAAAACTATAGACCATTGGCAATTCAACCTGCTCTATCAAAGCTATTTGAAAAAAGTTTACTTTTTCAACTAGTAGATTATTTTGAAAATAACCACTTATTAGATCAAGAACAGCATGGATATAGAAAAAATAAATCTACTACTACAGCTCTAATTTCTTATATTGAAAATGTATTACATAAGTTGGATGAGGACAATTATGTTGTTGGCGCCTTTTTAGATATGTCTAAGGCTTTTGATAGCGTGAATCATTTAAAGTTACTGCAAAAACTCAGAGCATATGGAATTAGTGGTAAAGAACTGGACTGGATAAAATCTTATTTAGAGGGCCGCCAACAGTTTGTTAACATTGGGTATTTAGATGGAAATAAGATGTACAATGTTAGATCTAATGTTAGGGAAGTTAAGTATTCTGTTCCTCAGGGATCTGTGTTGGGTCCATTCCTGTTCCTGTGCTACTTGGGAGGGATGCCAAAACATTTATCTGAACGGGTAGAAAACAATGCCCTCTGCTTGTATGCAGATGACATAAGTATGTCTATACATGAAAAGAATATTGAACTTCTTGAAATAAAAATGAAAGATTCGCTCAAAATAATTGGAGATTACCTAAATGAAAAAAACCTTTTACTTAATGAAAACAAAACAACCTTTATCAAATTTGAATGTAAAAAGTCTGGCGAAAAGATATTTGAAAATTTTGCATGTGAAACCAAATTTTTAGGTCTAACCTTGGACAGTACACTAAAGTGGACCTCACATGTCAATAAAATATGTAATAAAATTAGCTCCGGTATTTTTACTTTAAGACGACTATATCCCCTTTGCAGTAAAGAAATTTTGCGTGTGGTTTATTATTCAAATATACACTCCCATATTGCTTATGGCATTGAAATTTATGGTGGAACAAATAAATCTAACTTAAATGAAATTTTACATTTACAAAAAGAGGCCATAAGGTGCATCCTTAATTTAAATGAAAATGAATCATGTAAAAATCGTTTCAAAGAATTAGAATTCTTTACAGTTTACAGCCTCTATATATATAAGACTATATTATATGTTAAAAGCCGGGAGTCGCAACTGCAAAGACAGCAAGATGTACATACTTACAATACTAGACACAAACAAAATTTTATAATTAAAAAGCATAAAAAAGAAAAATTCAAAGAAAGTCCTGATTATATTGGGGTTACATTTTTTCATTCCCTCCCTTGTAGCATCAGAAATGAGGAAAACGGAAATAAGTTCAAAAAAAGGCTTAAGAATTTTCTAATTAGTGGAGAGTTTTATAATTTTGAAGAATTTACTGCACTATGTTCAAATATGTAAATAAACATGTAAATATGTAAAAAAATAAAAAAAATAAAATGGATCAGGAAAATGGTTTTAGTATTAGTTATAGTTTAAGATTAAGACGCATTCATGTACACTTTGTTGTATGTTTGAATAAAGATTTATTTGACTTGACTTGACTTGACTTGACTCAGTAGACACAATAAGTGACATTCAAAACAGGCTAATGATTATAAAAAAAACAACAAAATTAATAGCATAAAGTACTTTATTTATTCATTTTTTTTTTTTTTTTGTAAACCATCATTGTAACGATTGATTTTTGGTAGGATTGTCGCACGAGATATCGGAGATTGTGACCCAGAGCGTATGGCACCGCCTAGAGTGGAACAGTATGTGAGGGAAACCTTCCACGAGAACAGTGGCATCAAAATCAGCGTGGAGTCTGACATCGACGCACTAACAAGGGGCTATCCTCTCTTTGCTGCTGTCAACCGAGCTGCCAGTGGTTAGTTAACATTTTCCATTGCACAGTGTACAAAGTTATTTTATACAAGTTTGGATTTTAATCTTCCAGATAAAATATCATATGCAGTATCCAAAAACAGAATATAGTTATAATTTTTTTATTTTTTAAATATTTATAAAAAAAATACTAGTTTAAAAATTTATACAATTTAGCTGCAATAGCCAATAACGTCTTGTCTGCAGCAATTATTGTAAATTACATTATTTCACAGTGCTTTTTCCTTCAATCAGTCTTCTGTTTTCCTTGTTTTTCTTTAAATAAACTATAACATTAACTGTATACAGAATATAATAATGTCAATAATAATAAATACTAAAGTAAAATAACGAACAATCATTTCCATAGCTTATTTTGAATTAACAATTAAAGGCGAACAGAGATTTAGACTTTGTTTGGACATTTTTATAATGTGTGATTTAATAATGAAAGCCTAATCTACCTCATGGTTGTTTCTAAGAAGTTTGAGTGCAAAATAAAAATTAAAAAATATTGTCCTGTGTGAATAACATCTATATAAATAAAATTACAGTTTTGTCTGTACATTGCATAGAATCCTGCAGTTTTTGTTTATTTTTACGTTTCATAGCCTAAGAAAGCCGAACGAGTCTCATCTCAATTTCTGTCTGTCTGTGTCTGTCTCTCTGTCATTCTGTCTGTAACGCCAAATTGTCAATTTTTTTGTTTAAACTAAAAATCGTTTAAAGGTGTAAGGCGGGATAAACTTGAATGAGTTTGCAAACCAGCATGATCGGACCACGGAAACGGGGCTTTGTGGGGGGGTTTATGGGGTAAAAATTGGTTTTTCTCATTTTTGACCCTCAAAACACAAAATTTCCCAATTTCTTTCTAGACCTTTTTAAAGAGCTTTAAAAAAACAAATAATTTAGTATATCAAAGGGTTTTTTTTGTAGAATTATAGGTAAGGGAGAAAATTTAAACAAATTAAAATTCCCATGTTATTCTTTTGGAGAATATTAGTTTCCTTGTAGCAGCAAACCTAAGTACTTGTTAAACCTAATGTTATTTAAATATAGGTATTTAATTGATAATCAATTCAGACGGATGGAAATTCGCTTAGTCGGCACGTTTTCTGTATTATGACTGAGTGTGTTCCTGTAGTGATAGAGAGACACAGAGGCCGTATCATCTACCTACACTATGAGCCGAAGGGTCCAGTCAAGGAGACGCTGCTGCTGGTAGGCAAGGGTGTGACATATGACACTGGTGGTGCTGACATCAAGGCGGGGGGAGTGATGGCGGGCATGTCTAGAGACAAATGCGGGGCGGCAGCTGTAGCCGGCTTTATGAAGGTACACAATGTTTTAACTCAATTTTGCAAATTGAAATTCCACATATCCATCAGCTGTGGGACCACCACAAATGCAACAGGAAGTACAGGGGGACTCAGTAGACACAATAAGTGACATTCAAAACAGGCTAATGATTATAAGAAAAACAACAAAATTAATAGCATAAAGTACTTTATTTATTCATTTTTTTTTTTTTTTTTGTAAACCATCATTGTAACGATTGATTTTTGGTAGGCGTTGTAATTTTTAGTAGGCGATGTAGATTTTTGGTAGGCGTTGTGGATTAGCCTTCAAGGCGGCATTGTTCCAACGCGCCCAGATCCTGCCACGGTATTTTGCTTCCCAAATCATGCCAAACAATCCCTTATTTTCCTTTTACGGTTTGGTAATCAAGTGTTGGTGCTAGTCAATAGTCATGATTAAATTCATAATTCCATCATCAAAATGTGATTCAAAAGATTTAAACTGGAACTTGAGATCAATATTCACAAATAAATTGTTCCCTAAAGAGTTCATACATTCCATAGTAGATCAATGTTTTATATTTTTCATGTTTGTAAACAATAGCCTATATCTCTTTCTGTCTCAACAGATATATGCAGCTACAATCTTTAACACCTGTGAAAGATCATGGTCAATGTGCTGTATACAGTCCTAAGTACAAAACAGTTCCCTGATTCATCGTCAGATACCACCACCCACTGGGTTTGGTCATAACAAGAGTCTCTTATTTATACCTTAGCAGTATCCTTTTACGCGTGACGAGTAAGGCTTATGAAATCGTCTTGAAGGGTTCATCAGAGGAGAAAAAACCATTCAGAAAAAAACCCATTTCAGTTTACGCACGTTGCACATAGAATATTTACAGTCCTCTGAGTTAAATGATTGAATACAAGATATTTAATCATACAAATTCTAGTGACTTATGTAAATACTTGCATAGCTGGAAGGGAATTAGGCCTACTGTAGGGACCGGAGATATTCAGAAATAATCGGAGATGGGGATGTTCTATTTCAAACCTGTTGGTGTACAGTACCACATATACATAGTATATGGAGAAAGTATTTCATAAATTGCCCTTTAAGGTCGTAATTCCTTTTTAAAGGGAACTTTCCAATTACCCAATGTTAAAAATACCTCAGCTGTCAGCTGTTAAAAATCGGGTGGGATTATTTGTTTGTATTACTGTATTATGTTTTGTTTATTTCACCTTAACTTAACCAATCAATAGTTTTATTAATACGTTAATACTTATGAAGTCGAAGGGGGTGAAGCCCATGGGTAACAGCTAGTTTGACAAACTACCTTCCCAAGTTAAAAATGCTGCCAGGGACACTGAAATGTTCGAGTTCTTTGTGTATAGTGTAAAGTTTTGTGTTTCTTGAGTGAGATTGGACTCATTTCCATTCAGTTAAGCCTGCCATCCTCAAACAATACCAACAAAGTCTTCTATACTATTAACTTTTAAGGGAACATTTTCAATAATGTGCCTAGAAACTGATCCCTGTTGTTTTGTGTGCTACAGGTGGTGTCTGAGTTGAAGCCTGCCCATGTAAAGGTTATAGGTGCATTGTCTATGGTGCGCAACAGTGTGGGAGAGAACTGCTATGTAGCTGATGAGGTCATCACTGCCAGGTCTGGCGCGAGGGTCCGTGTAGGCAACACTGATGCTGAGGGTCGTATGATCATGGCTGATGTCTTGTGCTATGTAAGGAGTAATACACCAGTAGTCTACACAAACAAGATCATTTGTGTTTGAATTAGAAAGCATTTATATCATATGACATTCACAATAAGCAACCATATTGCATCTAAAAATATCAATGGGTGTAGGGGTGTGCGATGCATTGAAAATGCATTGAAATTCCAATTTGATTCGATTCAGTGGTGATCAAAAAACGATTCGATTCATTAGTGGGCTCGATTCCATATACGAAAAACGCCTGCAGAAAGTCAACGCAATACAGAAGTGCGTTGATGTTGCGTTTCCTTTGCGAAGGTGTTCTTGTTTAATTAATTTTTTGCTTATAAATATTGCTTTAATTGTTTTATAATTTTTTTGGTTTGATATTGCAAATGATTAGAAGTTTTGTTAAGTGTAAGCAGAGTAGGACAGGTTTTACTACTGTAATAGCCAAAACAAGTCACTCCAAAATCATTCTAAAAATAACACAGGTCTGAAAAAGTTTTACTTGATACTTAACTAGTAATTAATGTTTTAGACTGATAAATTGTCTTTTTCTGCTATGTATTCCTTGTAAAATGTAGGTCGATTCTAGCCTCTCATTTGATCTATTTGAACCAATTGAATGTTTCCATATAAATCTTGCAAATTTTTTTATTTGTTTACACAAAAACATATCTTTATATTTGTAAAGTCAATATTATAAAATAGGTAACATGCTTAACAATATGATTCTGCAAGTAAAAATTATGATATAGGCAAGTAAAGCAGCTCACTGACATTTCTAGCAATACAGGTTCTTCTAATATCATTGAAAATAAATATTTTTTCACCTAAAATTCATATATGTCATTTTTGTATGAATAGGCCTGGTACCACATCAACAAAAATTCGCATTACACAAATGTGATAAATTTTAATTAGCCTATTGTTACTTCACTCTATTGACAAAGTATGAATAGAAAAATGCTGTATTGCTTCGAATCGAGTTGCATCGATTCAAATCAAAAACCTTTTGAATTGAATCGTTGCTTCGAATTGAAAATGTTTGCTGCTTCGCACACCCCTATTGTTTAATGTCCCTTTTTATTCAGATGAAAGAGCTCGTTGAGAAGAACGAGGCGTCTGTCAACCCACATCTGATGACTATCGCCACTCTTACTGGACATGCTTACATTACTGTGGGAAATGGATATAATGTGAGTCCACTAATCATTGTATATGACCTATGCAATATTTTAGTCATAAATTATTTTTTTTAAATTACCAAACCTACAAGTCCATCCCTCTATGAAAATACACCATTAGTTCCTATACAGTCGAGTCCCACAAACTCGGCACTTGATAACCCGGCAGTCTGGATAACTCGGCCATCACCTGGCTCAGAAAATTAGTGATTTTTAAGTCCTAGTTAAACATGGACTCAAGCTAGCTCAAGTCAAATCATTCGCAGCTCGTACCAAGGATATGTTGTACTATATCTGATGACTTACTACTAACTTGTAATATATAAATATAAATAAAAGAGGCAATTAAAATACTTAAAAATTTAATTGTTCTTACTTTGTAACTGTAGTTCCCGATGACCCGGCATTTCACAAACTCGGCACCCTTCCAGTCCACATTACGCTGAGTTTGCAGGACTCTACTGTACTTGTTTTTTTGTTTGTGACAGATAAAAAGTTAGTCTTATGAATGACCATTGTGGTAACAATGTTTTTTTTCAGAGAATTTCCATATAGGGAGGTAGCTATTACCGTAGGTGGCACGGTAAGACCTAGGCCCAGGACCGATTTACTTTTTCATTTTGATTTCCCCAGAGGCCAAAAACACCATTCGTTCAAATTTTTATTTATGTATATATATCTATATCTATATCTATCTATCTATATTATACGCTACATGAAACTTTGTGAACAATAAGGCTTTTTTGTTTTAAGAATTCACCCCTCATATAATATACCAAAATGTTTGTCTAAGTGCGTAGATTTGCAAACTGACCTTACATTGTTGAAAAAGTCCCTTGGGCTCTGCTCCAGTGGCTTTTAAAGTTCCCTTGTTATCCCTATGAAGAACATATTTGTTAACATTATGATCAGCTGAATAATTTAATTAATTGCTGTTAAATTTTTAGTTGCAATAAGAAAACGTGTGCTACAAAGAATATTTAACATATTTCTAGATTAAATAGTTCCAAGATATGTGTACATCTATGAATACAGAACAAAAATTACTCTATAACCACTTACTGTACATTGTACAATTTACCCAGGCAAAGTCGGGTTTTGCTGCTAGTATAATATATAAATATGTGTCCGTGTATCTTAATAATTTTTGTTCGATTTTATGAAATTTGGTTTAAAGGCATAAGGCAAGATAAACTTGAATTAGTTTGTGAACCAGCATGATCGGTCCACGGAAACCTTTGCGGGGGGTTTTACGGGGTAAAAATTGGGTTTTTTTCTCATGTTTGACCCTCAAAACACAAAATTTCCAAATTTCTCTCTACACCTTTTTAAAGAGCTTAAAAAACAAATAGATTAGTATATCAAAGTGTTTTTGTACGGTTATTGGTAAAGGAGAAAATTCAAAAAATTGTAAATTTAATATTCCCATGTTATTCTTATGGAAAATATTGTAAAATATTGTAGTTTGCTAGTTTCCTATACCTATTTTGATAAAACTTGGCAATTTTTTCTTTACTAAGCTATTGATATTTTACTCTACTAGTTTCCTTGTAGCAGCAAACCTAGGTACTCGTTAGCCCTAATGTTATTTAAATAGGAATAATTGATAATCAATTCAGACAATGGAAATTAGCTTAGTCAGCAGGTTTGCTGCGGAGGGGATATTTATACTTGATTATAGTTGAATTAGTTTGGGCCGATGCTTGGTTATAAATTTTGTTATTGTCTTTACAAACCTTTTAACATACTAGATGTGCAAACAAGAACATGTTCCACATGAGGCTCAAATCTAGGCACTCGTAGGTATTTATGCAACTCATTTATACCTCCAATCCTTGGCTACATAGAGTTGATTTTGGACACTTTCTGTAGCCGACTCTGTATCCTTCCCACAAGTAAAAACCAGTCACTGGGTTAGAGTCCAAATAATCTTCCTGCAGGGTGTCTAGTAGTCGGAAAAAAAGGGAAATTCGGGAATTAGTATTGAATTTCAAAATGGTTTTGTAAAGTTGAGATTTAGTCTTTATTTTGATATCAAAGTCGGTAATTTTAATGATATTGCTAAGATCTCGCAAGACGACGATCACTTTTCCGTGACCGTGGAAGATGAAGATGCCTGCACGGGCGCGGGAAATGTTCATGATTTTGCCGCGATCGTGGACGACGATGATGACGTTTCCGTGACCGCGGTAATCAATGATGATTTCAAACGACCGCGGGAAAGGTTAATTAATTTTGCCGCGATCGCGGACGACGACGATGGCGTTTCCAAGACCGTGGAAGACGATGATGATGTCTACACGGCTGCGGGAAATGTTCATGATTTTGCCACGATTGTGGACAACAACAATGACCTTTCCGTGACCGGGGCAATCAATGATGATGTCAAATGACCGCAGGAAAGGTTCTTAATTTTTCCGCGATCGCGGACGAAGACGATGGCGTTTCCAAGACCATGGAAGGCGATGATAATGCCTACACGGCCGCGGGAAATGTTCATAATTTTGCCGCAATTGCGTACGACGACAACGGCGTTTCCAAGACCGTGGGAGATGTCGATGAGGTTTCTGTGACTGCCGGGGACGACAATGATGTCTACACGGCTGCGGGAAATGTTCATGATTTTGCCGCGATCGTGAATGACAATGATGACGTTTCCATAACCGCGGGAGTTGATGATGTCTACACGGCATGGAAGATGATCATGATTTGGCCGCGACCGCGGACAATGACGTTTCCGTGACCGTGGGAGTCAATGATGATATCTACAAGGGAACAAGGCCGTGGGAAATGTTCATATGACACTCACTTTTTATGACATAAAGACAGGAGTTGGTGTAGCACAACCAAATTATTTACAAAATTTGGTTAAACTATAAAAATTGGTATCGGTATCAAGAATTTACATTTTGGTATCGACATATCACTTTGTTGAAAAAACTAGTCTTGAAAAATCTGGAATTTGTCTAGAAAAGTCTGGAATTAGTCTTGAATTTTAAAATGGAAATAAACAAGACACCCTGTTTCTGTAGCTTAGTTTGCCCTACAAGTTTTACTTATGATATAATGTTTCAGATTGTGATGGATAACGGGCCTGCACATAAGAATCAAAACGCTGCCAAGTTCCATGAAGCAGGAGAACAAATTGGTGATCCAGTTGAAGTCAGCGTTCTTCGCAAAGAAGACTTTGATTTCCACAAAGGTAAACATACGATTTTCTTGTCAATTAGGCTTGAATAGCTTTATTATGGGAACAGAAATTACTGGTTCTTCTTTAAATTTAAAATTTGATAAGGTTGATTATACATGGTTGATTAAAAGTACTTTTTAACTTGATTGGGTTCACAAAGATTAACCATTCCAGGTACAGACACTCTCAACGGATAAAGCTGTAAAATTATTATGAAAACACAACAAACTGTAGGAAGTCCTTCATAGCTGTCTAAACACTTGTAGTCCTCAGATCTTTGGTCTCTAGATGTTCTTTCCAATCTTGGAGTTTGGTTTAGAGTAACCATCAATAACCATCAATAACCGTTTATGAGATTTATATAAGAGTTTAACACTATGTCTTATCCCATCAATTATTAAAACTGTAAAATGAAACATACCAAATTTCCTGAACGTCAAACCACATTCCGAGTTGAAAGCGTATTGAACCATAGATCAATATCATTCAATGTGTTATAGGGCCGAAATTTTCAAGTATTTCAATAAATGTTGTTACCAAAACAATAACTGTAATATAAATTATTAGATCTCAGCTGTGAGAGTATTAAGTATTTTATTAAACACTCGTAAGTTGGCCCAACTTAAGTAAACTGCTACCTTGGTTACTTACTGATGTTGGTCATTAACCTTTACTATAATGATGAACACAAAATGTAATATTAACACGTTCGCTACCGAGCGTTGCATATATGCGACGACGCGATCATTGCCACGGACCGAGGTATACAATTTAATCTTACACTTAGACCGGCTGTCACTTGGTTAACAGTACATGCAGACCACGGGCAAAAACCTGTTATATGTGGAATAAGCTATTACTGTAGTACTCATGGTAAAACCTGGACCCGGGACCGATTTACTTTTTCGTTTTGAGGCCCCTAGAGACCAAAAACACCATCCGTTCAAATTTATATATACTAGCAGTTACCTGGCGTGCGTTGCTGCGCTAACAAAATATATCTGTCTGTGTGAAAAGCATGTTTTTTCTACATTTAAACCGACGATAGTCAGGGGATTGCCCTAGTGCCTTATAATGGTGATTGCGAAAGCAAGACACAAAGGATATTGTAGTTGCTTAAATTCAGAGGTTAATTCGGTTGAAAATATATATATATATATATTTATTTGTGATAATACAAAATCTTGGCCTCGCCAAGTTTGCAAAACTTGTCGGCGAGGTCCAATTGATTCACAAAAATTTAACAAATAAAATTTACATTTTTTTCCTTTTTAACAAATATAAATATTTCTTGCGCTACTAATTCCATGGCGGTTTGTGGCAGGCACCTATAGTTATACATAATAATGGCAGCAGAAATGTAAAATTCTATTGGAACACTGACGCATATATGCGACGGCAGTCTATAGGTAGAAACCGGCCGTCGCATATGTGCGTTGCTGATCTATATGAATGAAAAATGTTGTACTAATGCGTTAGCGAGCGTGTTAATTCAATCATTTTACTTCAAAATACTTTTATAGTGTCCAAAGCAGGTTGAATTTGTAGGTTACATTATATGGCCAGTAATAAACAAAAGTTGTTGGGTTTCACTTTGCACCTCTAGATACTGCCTCAATTATCAGTATTAATATGTGACAGTCCAATTTCTGTATCCAAAATTAGTTATGATTTTTTTTATTTTTAATTGGCTCTTTTTCAATAACTATAAATTATTACTTAATTAGATTTCAAATTATATGAAATAAAATAATTGTTGATACAAAAACGTTACATAAATTAATTGATGAATTGTTAAGAGCAGTATCTGGTGTCTTGTCAATTTATCGTGTCAAAATCTGAAACATTTGGTAACAATGTGATTGCGTCCACCCGTAAAAATATCTTTTAGTCTTAACAACACCGGTTATCTCCTGAGAATGCGGAACACTTGTTCTTAGTTGAACACGGGTAATTGTCAGTTTGGATTTTTTTGTTACTTTCTTCCTTTTTGTAAACCGACATTTGGGATGACTAGTCTTAAACATAATCGATGCTCAACTGTACCAATAACAGTAGTTTTGTTGTTGTATCAAAAACTGCTCAAAACGCTTATTTTTCTTGAACGAAATTTAAAATTTCATTGGAAAGTTAATATTGAGTGATGTTTGAGACTGTGTTTGTGTTTTTAATAAATGTAATATATGTGGTTTGCAGGTAAGAGTGAAGGTGACGATGTCCATCAAGCCAACAACTTGCCATCAACCAGGACTCCTAGAGGACATCAGGGTCCTGCAGCGTTCCTCATAATGGCATCAGGACTTGACAAGGTACAAAGTGGCTTATAATCTTATACATTAAAACCTGGTTTTTTTTATTTCAAGATTCTAAATCAACCACAGGACAAATTTTCATGATGTTCAAATGTTGAAAATAATTTTAGTTGTTCCACCGTTTCAGTTTTTTAGGAATTAAGTTTTAATTTTTTTTCAAGTCTAGCAGCCGACGCTATCATTTTCAGTTTGTTTTAATGTAATTTGTTTCAACTAACAGCTGGTTTCCATTCAACTGTCACTAAAATGTTTACGTTACACTATAATATACGTTCCCTTTTATACTAGGTATGCAATGCACTTGTCTGCTTGCAATATTGAGCGGAGCTAGTATAATAATACAATGCTTTATTAATTCCAAAGTCAATGCTACATCTGATTAACGTAATTGGGATGTATACTTGCACTATCATAAGTCAATGCTAAATCAAGTTTACGTAAATGAAATGTCTCCTTACAGTATCTAAAGTCAATTGTACTTCTGCTTCACATAAATGGGATGTCTACTTGCAGTATGTAAAGCCAATGGTACATATACTTCACATTCAAATAAATGAGAAATCTTCTTGCAGTACCCAAAGGCAATGGTATGATCCACATGAATGGAATTACATGGTGTTGCAGTAGCCGCAAGATCGCTAAATTTAAGCTAAATGGTTTACATTTACATTGCGTCGTCCAGTGGTCCATTGTAGTAGTAGCCTACACTATTATAGTTTCAGACTTCTAGAGTCCACCATCAGGTCTGACAAAAACATAAAGTCATCTATCGGATATGGTTAGATCCGTCATTACCATTGTAGAACACACACAATATAAAATATACTCCAACAGACCACTTGACGACACGAGGTAATAAAAACCATTTAGTATAAGTGGAACGTCTACTTGCAGTATCCAATGTCAATGGTATGTTTGGATCACATAAATAGAATGCCTTTTTAGTTTTTCCAGTATCCAAAGTCAATGGTAGGCTATATTGTTTTTAGGGGTCTGCGGGTGTACTGTCTTTAAATACCATATTTAATTGTAATATTTATCAGCTGACTTTTGTTTGTTTTTGTTTATGTGATGAGTTTTGGAAATTGGTATTAAAACAGGGTTGATCTTATCTTGGTTTTATTTTATCTTCAAACAACATACAATGGCGACGAGGATGAGGAAGAATGGTAGAAAACATCAGGAACTAGAGGAGGAACGCATAGTGATACCGAACAAACCAATGTTTTGTTCTAATTTTGATAAATTTGATGAAGACAATGAGACATGGACATCCTACATGGTGAGAGTAGATAATTTTTTTGACTTAAATGAAATCACATCAGAAGTAAAGAAAAAGCAGTATCTGATAAATTTGTTAACACCTAAAGTATTCCATGATCTAAGGATTAGCCTAAGCCCATCTAACACAGAAGATAAAAGTTACAATGAATTGTGCGAAACTTTACAAATTTTTCATAAAACTTTAACCAGTGTATTGAAATAGCTAGTAACTTTGAACAGATCAAAAGTGAAACTGCAAAAATCCAAGAATCAAATTTGTATTCAAAAGTGGAAGAACAATTTCAGATTCAAGGAAGGAGGAACACTGGATATGCGCAAGGAAGAAAGGGTACTACAGCTTGTTTCAGGTGTGGAGGAAACCATCACGTTAGTATCTGTGAAATTCCTAAAGACATAAATTGTTGGAATTGCGACAGAAAGGGACATCTCAGCAAAGTTTGTTGGAGAAAGAAGCAAAACATGCTACAAACTGACGACGCTTCACCAGATAATGAATATGACGATGAGGGTGAGTGTCAAAATGTACCATTCATGTCTATGTTATCCATTGTAGATAGGCAGAAAAAAAGTAGTAAACTATATAAACTGTGTGATAGTATTTATCAACCAGAAGCTGTCAACAGGCCGAGGAAAATTATGTTAGAATGCACCATTGATGACAAGCGTAACTATTTTGAGTTGGATACTGGTGCTGCGGTCAGTACAATACCTTTACATCTGTTTCGAAAATTATTTCCAGAAAAGATTCTAAATAGAACAAGAATACGGTTAGGGACATATACAGGAGAAATGATTCGCCCCGTAGGTTTTGCAACAGTCAAAATTTGTTATAAAGATCAGATGTCTGTGGGCAACCTATACGTTATTCGGGGAAATGTAGACAGTGTATTTGGAAGGGAATGGTTGAAACTATTCAACATTGAGCTTCAGAAAGAGAATGACCACAGAACTAAGAAGGATGGAAACATAGTGGAATACAATAAGTCATTGACAGGAGGCCGGTACCACGATAGGAAGGGATTTAATCACCCGGCACTCGACCAGATATCCAAAGAGCCTGCGACTCGATTGGCCACCAAGAGACAGGCGAGAGATGAAGCTAGAGAAATCAGGACGAAGGAACTAGAAAGTTACCAGCTTTACAGCAAATATAACTTTAAAAACCACGATGTATACTCCACTCCAAATAGAGCTAGCTCTGCCACCAATAGTAGATCTCAGCTGTGCTCAAAGAACAGCTATAAATCGTCAAATTGTACTTCTGAGGACTCTATGGAGGAGGTTAACAGCACGCAAGTTGCCAGTATTGATCCAAGGGAATGTGAGGAGAAGTTCCGCAAAGCTGTGGTGACCAAAGCACATCTGGACAGTGTGAAGAAGGCTAGAGTAGAGTACCAGAGTGATATGTCCAAGGACAAATACAAGGATTTTGAGAAACATCTTCAAGTGTTAAAAGATCACAAGGATACCAAACCTCTGAAGAAAGTTCAAGAACAACTAGGTGAAGAGCAGAAAACTGTAGAAGAACTAGAAGGTGTCCTACAACATAAATATGGGTCTGTAGATATTCAGTTGAAGCGAGTCCTAGAAGAATGTAATGGGTTGTTGGATGAGCTACGAGGACTCAAGTTAGAGTTAATGAAAGGGAGAGCTGCATGAGTTCTACACCGATGACAGGGACGTTATACAACAAAATAATTAAGAGAGCTCAGGTTAATTTTAAGGGGGAAGTGTTGTACTGTCTTTAAATACCATATTTAATTGTAATATTTATCAGCTGACTTTTGTTTGTTTTTGTTTATGTGATGAGTTTTGGAAATTGGTATTAAAACAGGGTTGATCTTATCTTGGTTTTATTTTATCTTCAAACAACATACAGCGGGTCAGACTTTTTTGGTTCGGGTCGGGTCGGGTCGGGCCAATAATTTTGGTCCTTGGGTTTCGGGCCAAAATCGGGTCGGGCCAAAAATTATTAATTACCGGATTTTTTTTTTTTTAACTCCTATCTGTGTTTATAATATTACTTGAAAATAACATATGGAAAAAGATTGTATTAATGTATATTATTTCATGTTCATAACTTATTTACAGCTTAGGAGTTGCCTCAACTGCAAGAAAGAAGAAAATAATTTTTTTTATCAAGCCATTCTTTCCCATTTTCATAACTGTTGAAATATCTAAACAGCTATATTACAACAAGTTTGTAATGGAACTTAATATAAATGGATCATAAACAAATCAATTAACCTTATCACAAGTTTAGGGCCTGTGGCTTCAAGACTGCAAGCAAGAAGAAAATAAAAATTCTATAATAATAATAGGTTAAATACCTTGTATACGTCCTCAATCCAAGTCGTCTTTTAAAATGACTATAGTTTCGGGGCCAACAGCCCCATTGTCAAATTTTCTGTCTTGTTAATTACTGTTTATAGCATTGGTCAAAGTTGAAGTACACATATACACATACACTGACACACGAAACATTTATATTTACACGTAACATTGAAAAATTCTACTTTTTGGCCGGCCTAAACAAAAGTGATTACTGTACATCATTGTGCGGACCGGTACACTGACTGACTGATTCGTGTTAGCCGATACCCTGGAGACGTTGACCTTGGCCTTGGGGGAGGGGGGTGATCAGCTGTTTGTCACTATTTCTATTGTTCAATGAATCGATGCGATCGAACAGAATGTTGGAATTGAAAGTTAGTTTTTCATTTAACACATCGTTTGGCGATTTTTTGAAAGCTTTATAAATTTCATAGCTTTCTAGGACGTTCATCACGGGGCCTTTATTGCATTTATGTAAAATTTCTAATCCTCCATTGGAACTTTTTATGGAATGGTTTTCTTTTAGAAAACCATTCCGGAGGATAGGTATTTCCGAAACTAGTATTTCGGAGGATTAGAAATTTTACATAAATGCAATAAAGGCCCCGTGATGAACGTCCTAGAAAGCTATGAAATTTATAAAGCTTTCAAAAAATCGCCAAACGATGTGTTAAATGAAAAACTAACTTTCAATTCCAACATTCTGTTCGATCGCATCGATTCATTGAACAATAGAAATAGTGACAAACAGCTGATCACCCCCCTCCCCCAAGGCCAAGGTCAACGTCTCCAGGGTATCGGCTAACATGAATCAGTCAGTCAGTGTACCGGTCCGCACAATGATGTACAGTAATCACTTTTGTTTAGGCCGGCCAAAAAGTAGAATTTTTCAATGTTACGTGTAAATATAAATGTTTCGTGTGTCAGTGTATGTGTATATGTGTACTTCAACTTTGACCAATGCTATAAACAGTAATTAACAAGACAGAAAATTTGACAATGGGGCTGTTGGCCCCGAAACTATAGTCATTTTAAAAGACGACTTGGATTGAGGACGTATACAAGGTATTTAACCTATTATTATTATTATTATTCAATCCAGGAGGCAAACATGGATAAAAATTCTATGTTTCCACCATGCAATATGAATCATTCATTCCCTGCCTCCTAACCTCCTCTCACACTTACAATAGCATTATTAGTTACATCATCATAAATAAAGAATTATCTATTATTGGCATTAGTATGCCTACAGCTTTACATAGGAATTATTTTTTATAGGGCCTAAAATAGTAATAGACTAAGCAACATGACAAGTGGAGAACTCATTGAAGAAAAGATATTGTGTAAACTAATTTACTATAAAACTCTAAAACAATAAATAACACACATACATTGTTTATGGTATAGTTATAGTAAAGACTGTAAAAATTGCATATCATGTCATACACAGTTATAGATACTGTACACAGTTATAGGTATTGCAAGAGATTAAAATCCTAAAACAACTGACTTTAGCTAATAAATGAAAAGAATTAAAAATCCATAAACTCAAGTCAAACAATATCACAATTATTAGGTACCCGAAAAGGAACTCTTAATATATAGAAAATTATATTAAATCAAGAGAAAAGAAAGTTAAATGCTAATTTGGCAACATAAGCAGACAGCAGAGACATTATAGTGCCCTAATTAGCAACACAACTCAATGTTTTTATACTGTAAGTCAATGTTTTTGAAACTGTAGGGTCTTTTTCTCGGAAGGAAGGGTAGTAGAATGTAAACAAAAAACCATGAATCACTCTCACAGCCGGGCCCGGGGACACTCAAGGTTACAGACCCTCCCCCTCCCCTCCCCTCCCATCTTACACAACCCGAGCCAGGCCCAGGGACACTCAAGGTCATAGACCTTCCCCCTTCCCCACCACTATTATGCCACCCGGTTGTTCCAATTGCTGACAAAATACAAGTAACAAAACAAGGAAGTAGAGACAAAAAGATATATTTTCTTTATTCAAAAATATAAAACTGTTACAGATAATTTCCAAAGAAATTAATTCATGGTAGTTTGTGTCTTGTAAATATTGTATTGGATCTTAGAAATATATTTTTTGAAACTCAATCTAACTTAAGAAAAAAATAATTTTACTTATGAAAACTTTCATAAAATTATAAAATATTTAGGCCTAACCTCTTTGTAGACTTGTTGATACTTAAAAAATTAAATGGTGACCATAAAATGCCGAACCAGACGATCAGAAGTGTTGTTTTGTTTTGTTACTGAATGACAAAAAGGACAATAGGAAAATAAAAGAACAAGATACAGATATGTACACTATATCAGATATTTCTTTTGTTTATAATTTATTATATAAATAAAATACTAAAATATAATTTAAACTAGGTATGGAATAAACAATAAATAATTAAACGGGTACCTCTGGATAAATAGTCTTTCTTTTGACTTCGTTTTCTTTGCACTGTTGCGTCACGGCTTTTGTTTTGTCAGTAGACGACTGGCTCTGGCTAGTGACAGTAAGGCAATAATTGCTCTGTTGTGTCTTTGTTCTTAAACGTGAGCAAACTTAATATTTAATTCTAATTTTAACATTTTAATTCCTCTGTAATAATGTATATAAGAGTGTTTCTTTGAAAATTACTTATTATAACTTTAAAAATAGCCTAATAATTATTTTTTTGGCCCGACCCGATCTTGGCACGAACAAATCTCTGACCCGACCCGGTCTCTCGGGCCTTCCACTGGCCCGACCCGACCCGAAAAAATCGGGGACCCGCAGACCCCTAATTGTTTTACATAAACGGTTATTTTGGTTTTATACTGACCACACCGATAAATCAACTTCCTAATAAGATTAAATTAGGCCTAGTTTAAATAACAAAATCTTCCTAACCTAACCTAAAAAAAAGTCCACCCTTAGGTTAGGTTATGTTAATTATTAGGGTGGTCGGTATAATACCAAAGTACCCATAAATGAAATACCTATTTGCAGTATCCAAAGTTAATAGCTAGTATTCTGCGCGTTTCGGGATGAGTGAACGTGAGCGAAACAATGGGCGAGTCCACCCGCACTTAACGGTGTCACTGGTAAACACAATGTTATTTGTATGGGCAAATCCACCAAATCTCAGTTAACAACAATCATAACTTCTCGTCCATTAATTTGTCCAGTTTTTACATTGGGTTTTACTATTACTGGAATAGAAGTGAGGACACAACAGAGTTATAGAACTAACTTTATTTTACAATAAATTATTAGAAAAACTCTTGAACATGAATCCTAAGCCCAAAAACACAAAACCTGAAACTATCTTGTTACTAGGCAACAACTTTCATTAAATTCAAACCATATGTTTGTGCTGTAAAGTCCAAATGTAAAAATTATTTCTTGACATAGTTAACTGAAGTCATTGGCATATTTGTGGTAAATTTCCAACAATTATCGATAGGTGGCTGTCTCCCTGACCCTACCACAGGCACTCCTGTGTTGACCTTGGCTTAAAGATACTTGCTCAGCTCCACAACCTGTTATATTAATGTTTTGATGTATGTTACAGCATGGTCTAGACTCCAAACAACCTATCAAGTACTCTCACTGGGACATTGCAGGAGGCAGTGGCTGTCTCCCTGACCCGGCCACAGGCCTTCCTGTGTTGACCTTGGCTTAAAGATACTTGCTCAGCTCCACAACCTATTATATTAATGTTTTGATGTATGTTACAGCATGGTCTAGACTCCAAACAACCTATCAAGTACTCTCACTGGGACATTGCAGGAGGCAGTGGCTGTCGCCCTGACCCTGCCACAGGCCTTCCTGTGTTGACCTTGGCTTAAAGATACTTGCTCAGCTCCACAACCTATTATATTAATGTTTTGATGTATGTTACAGCATGGTCTAGACTCCAAACAACCTATCAAGTACTCTCACTGGGACATTGCAGGAGGCAGTGGCTGTCTCCCTGACCCTACCACAGGCACTCCTGTGTTGACCTTGGCTTAAAGATACTTGCTCAGCTTCACAACCTGATATATTAATGTTTTGATGTATGTTACAGCATGGTCTAGACTTCAAACAACCTATCAAGTACTCTCACTGGGACATTGCAGGAGGCAGTGGCTGTCTCCCTGACCCGGCCACAGGCTCTCCTGTTCTGGCCTTGGCTTAAAGATACTTGCTCAGCTCCACAACCTGATATATTAATGTTTTTGATGTATGTTACAGCATGGTCTAGACTCCAAACAACCTATCAAGTACTCTCACTGGGACATTGCAGGAGGCAGTGGCTGTCGCCCTGACCCTGCCACAGGCCTTCCTGTGTTGACCTTGGCTTAAAGATACTTGCTCAGCTCCACAACCTGTTATATTAATGTTTTGATGTATGTTACAGCATGGTCTAGACTCCAAACAACCTATCAAGTACTCTCACTGGGACATTGCAGGAGGCAGTGGCTGTCTCCCTGACCCGGCCACAGGCCTTCCTGTGTTGACCTTGGCTTAAAGATACTTGCTCAGCTCCACAACCTGTTATATTAATGTTTTGATGTATGTTACAGCATGGTCTAGACTCCAAACAACCTATCAAGTACTCTCACTGGGACATTGCAGGAGGCAGTGGCTGTCTCCCTGACCCGGCCACAGGCCTTCCTGTGTTGACCTTGGCTTAAAGATACTTGCTCAGCTCCACAACCTGTTATATTAATGTTTTGATGTATGTTACAGCATGGTCTAGACTCCAAACAACCTATCAAGTACTCTCACTGGGACATTGCAGGAGGCAGTGGCTGTCTCCCTGACCCGGCCACAGGCCTTCCTGTGTTGACCTTGGCTTAAAGATACTTGCTCAGCTCCACAACCTGTTATATTAATGTTTTGATGTATGTTACAGCATGGTCTAGACTCCAAACAACCTATCAAGTACTCTCACTGGGACATTGCAGGAGGCAGTGGCTGTCTCCCTGACCCGGCCACAGGCCTTCCTGTGTTGACCTTGGCTTAAAGATACTTGCTCAGCTCCACAACCTGTTATATTAATGTTTTGATGTATGTTACAGCATGGTCTAGACTCCAAACAACCTATCAAGTACTCTCACTGGGACATTGCAGGAGGCAGTGGCTGTCTCCCTGACCCGGCCACAGGCCTTCCTGTGTTGACCTTGGCTTAAAGATACTTGCTCAGCTCCACAACCTGTTATATTAATGTTTTGATGTATGTTACAGCATGGTCTAGACTCCAAACAACCTATCAAGTACTCTCACTGGGACATTGCAGGAGGCAGTGGCTGTCTCCCTGACCCGGCCACAGGCTCTCCTGTTCTGGCCTTGGCTCAACGATACCTGCTCAACTCTAACTAGTGTTACTTAGTGTGTGATCATGGGAAAATTAATAAACATTTGTAAGGTATGGATTTAATAAGCAGACTGCTTTCCAATGAAAATGTATTACCTTGTTATTTACCTGTAAATAGTAGGGACCTTTTGTAATGTAATTGAGACTGATGGGTGACTTTTATAATAATTTAAATTTAATATTGTTTGGGACTTTTTTATTAGTTGGATTTTGGCAACAAAAACATAATTTAGTCAACATTCAAAAATAGAACTCTCTAAAATATTATGCTCCAATGTTTACTTTAGTCATTTATATCCTATTATGTAATAGGCCTATTGTTTCTTCATAATATTGTCAAACGGCTAAATCGAATGAATGAATGAATGAATGAATGAATTGAATGAATGAATTATTTCTTTATTCCAACAAAGTATATATACAGAATATGTACACAAATATTTAAAGGAAGAAAAAAATCATAAGTGAATTTAAGAATAAAATAAAATTAACCTTTACATTACATCTATGTTAAAAAAAAGCGTACATGTTTATAAGGAATAAGCCGACATGGGCAGCGAGCCTGTGCGTCGACTGTAGTTGCGTCCAAACATAAACATTAATAATCAAATGCAATAAATAAATAAATGACAGAAGATATGATGAGGTGAAATATGATGTAAATGGAGTTACAAGAACAAAAGTTTAAATAAAAATAATTGAACTGTAATAGTGACAGGAATTCTACGGCTTTGAAAGTGTGTCTATAGGGGAGAAGTGGGCGACGGATAACGAGTCAGGGTACAATGGTCAGGTCGCATGTCGTGTCAGGAGCGTCTGTGTCTGTAATCAGCTGTGATGATAAGCTCAGCCTCGTCCCTGCCTAGACCAAGTAACCACTCATTGACACGGCGTTTGAATATGTTTAAAGTGGGAGAGTCAAAGAGATTAACACTTTGAAAATAGTTTTGCAAGTTACGAAATAGGACGTGTGCAATATAAAATGAGTTGGTCGATGAAAAGGATTTGTACAGTTGTAGTGATGTAATTCCAATTCGGGTAGAATATCTAGTATTATGTGTATGGGAAATTATAGAGAAAATGTTGGTATAATTTTTAAAAATATGACTTAAAACATTTTTTATGAAAAGTTGTCTGATCGTTAAAACTGACACATCCTTGAAGAGAGTGTCAGATGGGTAACGCCTGCACTTCCCAAAACCAATTTTTAATATTAACTTTTGTGTTATGTTTAATGGCTCTAAAATACTTTTAGAACAACCCCCCCCCCCCCCCCCCAAAGCTTATGATTCCGAAGGATAAAAGTGATTGAACAAAAGCATAGTACATTAATTTCATTTCACTTTCATTTAGAATCTGATTCAGCTGACCGATAGCATAAATATATTTTCTAATTTTACTGTTTAAATATTGAATATGGCTAGACCACTTAAGACGGTAATCAAAGACCACTCCTAAATATTTGAATGACTCTACTTTTTCAATAGATTCGCATGTACAGTTGGCGTCGAGGTAATCACCACAGGTGTGAATGACGAGATTTTCTAGATTATAATCAGATTTTAAACTTAAAGAAATTGGCATAAACTTAGTTTTTGATGAATTTAAAGAGAGTATATTCTGGTTTAACCACAACTTGGTTTCCATTAGGTCGTGCAAAGCTTTGTTGCGGGCCTCAGGCCAAGTTTTGCCGCTGTTCAAAATTAAAGTGTCATCAGCAAATAAGAAAAGCTTACCAAAAATATTAAGTTTTGAAATATTATTTATATATATTAAAAATAAAACAGGCCCAAGTGTACTACCTTGAACCACTCCATAGTTAACATTTTCAATATTACTGTTGGTGTTAAGTATTGATGCAAGTTGAGATCTTTGAGACGTGTTGGGGGCGTAATGGGTAAAAATGAAAATAATTAATAACTCGAAGGACCAGAACTAATTAATAGTTCAAGAGAAAAATAATTAAATTAGAGAAAATGGCGAATCTGCAATTTGAAGGGCACTGAGGTCCCGAGATGGAATAAAATGTCTTGTGAGGGGCAAATGAGATTAGTTTTAGAGTCTAATTAAAACACACACAAAACTTTAAGGTTGTACCTTGAGTCCAATTATCCAAAGGTGGAGAGTATGGCAGCGGCGTCGTCTATGGTGGAGCGATGGCGGATGGCGGAGTCCTTAGACCGAGTGCTTCTGTTTTGTAGAATTTTGGAGTACGCAACGCACCCAAGTTCATAATCACAAAGAGCTCACTAATACGCGGAAGTCGCGGTGAAAACGTACGGAAAGTCTAGAAGTAATACACGGACGCGCACACACTGTCTTGAGGTTTGAAGAGTCTGAAAGCACTAGATCACAATTTAAGTAATTTAATCACAAACAAAAGGGGGAAATTAAAATGTATATATAGTTAAATGTACTATAGAGGAGAGAGAGGCCAGATATAATTAATCTATAGCCTAAAAATACGTTTAAGAGGTAAAATGGGCAATTAATGTCCCGAGATACTAGAAACGGAATACACCGTGAGTTATGGACGCCGACCGTGGACAGACAGACGCCGATCGCCGGCTTCACACTTTGAAAAATGCAATTGCGGTTTAGAGGGGTCTAGGAATTCGATGGCCAATAGGAAATGCGATTGAAGCAAACACGGCGTCAGGTGATTCATGGGTATGTAGTACAGGAAAATAGGCCTTACTGTGGCGGGAAATTCGAGCAGGCTTAGCAATCTCATTTGAATATTGAAAGCGGGAGTCTATTTACAATAAATTGTTACTGAGACTAAATAATATTACAATAAATGTGGTGATTTATATACACATTAGCATGATTAATTAACCAGTGACTTAATTAACATAATGATTAATTTCTAAATACTCTAAAAATATGAATACCGAACATTCCGGCCCCCTTGAAGCATTACAGCTTCAACAGACAATTAATTAAAAAACACAAGAGCAAACGTAAACCACACTTAAATCTAATATGTACATAGAGTAGGTTTCTTGGACTTAGTCTTCATTGCATGGCAGAGGGAAGACCTTGTGAACAGGCCGTGTGAAAGTCCCAGAAGCTGTCTTCACTGTGACGACTCGAACTGTTCCATCAGCGCCAGGGTGAGTGGAGACGATGCGTCCAAGAGGCCAGGTGAGTGGAGGTGAATTGGAGTGAATGAGCACCAAGTCTCCGGTCTTCAAATTCTCATGAGGGGTGGTCCACTTGGATCGCTGCTGGAGGGAGTGGAGATATTCAAGCTGCCAACGCCTCCAGATACGCTGGTGAAAAGCCTGGACAAGCTGCCACTGACGAAGACGATTGAAGGGCACTTCAGACA